TGGGTGGGGCCGAAGTCGGCTGGGCGGAGGGCTGCGCCGAAGGCTCGGCCGGCTTGGTGGGGTTGTTGCCGGGGTCGGGGTTGTCGTTACCGCCGCCGCCACCGCCGCCACCACCCCCGGGAGGAACAACGGGAGGAACGACCGGGGCAATGGGGACGGGCACGGGGACAGGCACGATGGGAATGATGGGTACTCCGCCTTCGTCCGTGGTGGGCGGCGCAGTGGAGTAATAGATGGAGTAAGAAACGCCCGAGGAGGACACCAGGGAAGCCGGCGGCCGCGTGGTGAAGACGGGAGCGTCGCCTGCCGGGCGGGAGGGCGTACCAGCAGGACCGCTGCTCGCCGGACGAGAGGGTGTCGCTGGGTTGTTGGTCGCGGGGCGAGAGGGAGTTCCTGGAGCGTTGCTTCCGGAGCGAGAAGGTGTTCCCGCCGGAGCGTCACTTGCAGAACGAGAAGGTGTTGCAGGCTTGTCAGTCGCAGGGCGAGAAGGCGTTCCTGGAGGCTTGCTTGCAGATCCAGATGGCGTGGCTGGCTTCTCGCTTGCCGAGCGAGAGGGCGTTGCGGGCTTGTTGGTAGCAGGACGAGAGCCGGTTGCGGGGATGTCGTCGACAGGTCCAGAGGGCGTGGCCTCACCAGTGGGTCTTCTTGAAGTCGAGCGGGTGGGTGGACGAGAGCTCGTGGCATTTCTCCTCATTGAGCTCAACGTCGACGCCGGTCCAGCTTGTCTGCGAAGGAATGCTTCATATTCATCCCTCGGACTGTAGCCAGACCTGGCCATGAGGTCCTCCGTTCCTCCTAGAAGCATGTCGGGATTGTCCCTCTTCATGATAGTGCAAGAACCACCAGGCGGCGCGCCACTCTCAGGGTTCGCCATCACTTCCAGGGCGAAGAAGGCCATGTTTTGGGCGTTCTGGATCTTATCCTTGGGCGCAAGTCTCGAACAGCTGAGCGCGATGTGTTAGTGAGGATTTCCAACCAGCCGGGGGGAGTGTCGTTTTTACCATCCTGCATCGTAGCAACCACTGCCATCCTTGTAGGCTGGGTCAGGAACGTCGATGCACCGCCGGTTATCACCCACAAAGGCGGCCAAGTGCTGTACCTCGTGCAGCAGAAAGAAGCCCGCAGAACCCTTGAGCCTTCTATTCTCTTGCCAAAACGCAAGCATCTCCTGGTTCGACACACCCTCGAAGAACTTATCGCACAAGACGATAGAGTGGCCGGACAGTCCTCCGGCACCGTGCTGGTGAGCCCCGGCCACCAACTCGCCCGCGCACATGCTGTTGTCCGCGGCAGCGCACATGTACGTCAGACCGGTGGGGCTGAGGTTATCCATTGTCATGTCGGCGACGCGGTTGTTCGCTCCTGGTGGCTTGAGGTACGTCAACACCGAGTCGTAGTTTGACTGCTTCAGGGTCTTTCGTAAGTCCGCCTTGGAGTTTGTGTCTGTATCGCCGGGTTGTCAGTGTCTTCGTTGTGCCTCGAGACTTCGCACGTGTCATGTGAGCTCTCTTACCACCAAACCACAAGACAAACGCATCAGAGAACTCGGTGTCCGGCTCCGCAAGCACGGCGGATGCGATCGTGGCCAGCGCCTGGGCGTCGTTGACGATCTGCGCCAGCCTGCCGATCTTCGCCTCAGAGCAGCCCCATTCGCTGCCTATCTCTGTGTCGATGACGAAGTAGCCGTCTAACGCTCTTCTGCTCAAGGAGTGTAGCGCCTGGTCCATGGACCGGGCATCACGGGCGGAAAGGCCATGGCCCTTGTGACCAAAGACCGTGGCTGGCCCTGAAGTCAGGACCAGCGACAAAATCGAAACGAATGGAGTGAAAGAACGTAGCATTTCAAAGAATGAATGAGTGTGTGGCCCAGCGGGTGGGGAGCCATTGTGAAAAAAAAAACGTGGGCTGTCAAGGGATTATTTCTATTTGCTTGAAAACTGAGGAAATTACACTGCTTCCGTGGACGCCGTTCGCCGGTAGAAATTCTACATGATAGTAAGCCTTGTGAGGCCTACCGCCTCAGTGACAGGTAGAAGATTAATCAAAGAAGCATCTTTAGCTTCGCCAGAGGTAAATAGAGGTCGAAGGCTCAGCCGGGTTATAATTAGTTCAGACCAGACGGAAAGGAGGGTCTAAAGATCGCCTGAGCGCACTCTGCCGCCCTGAAGTGCCCACTCTTAAGGCGGACGCAATTCAACCATACAACCCGTGGGCCTTGGCGTCGTCTGGTCCTTATCTGGTCATCTGACGAAAGATTGCCGATAGCTAACTAAGAGTTTGACAGCGGCCCCAGTCTGGCCCCCCCGTCCACCCAGTGACGCAGCGAACCGAAGTCGCGCGCGTGTGTGTGCGAGTAATCATGCCGTCGCCATGCGAACCCCCCGCCGACGTCAAATCAAACTCGCAACATGGGCAACCAGGCGTGCCCGATCTTGACTCGCGAGCCCATGGGTGGACGGATACCAGATGCCGAGCATGTCGTACGGCGAGTACCCCGCCGCCCTAGCCAAGCCTCAGCTTGAGTTTGAGAGAAGTTGTTGTCGAAAGGCTGTTGGCCCTTTTTTTGCCTTTCTGGGACGGGGTGGACGTTCTTGCCTAAACGGGGAAAAGGACCCACGGGTCATTATACTTTGGGGGGAAATAAGACAACTTTTGAGACTCTACTGTGGTAAGCGATACGGTTCGTCAGGGGAGTTAGGGCCGCAAAATGTCACAACGCTGGCACCCGCAGAATCCAGAATCACTGCTTCTGTCGTCTGTCGCGGTCGACAAGTGTCTGTATAATGTTTACAGTCTACAAGAAAGGTGGCAGACTGGGGCTGTGTAAGTTGGGCCGGTAATTATGTTCCTGAGAAATTGCTTGCCAAGTGCACCGGCGGGCCGGGAGAAAGCCACAATCGCCGACTTGCTGTGGAAAATGGTGGATCGGCCGCGAGACATTCCATCCCACGTCCCTGCTCGGGGTCCCCCGAGGAAGGTTTCTGAAACCTTGGCCAGCGAGGCCGTCATGCCCTTGCGTTAGTACCTTACAGGTTAGTGTATCCGCCGTGCTGGAAGAAGCTGTTGGCGCGCGCCTTGCGCACTAGATGGTATTGGTTCTAGGGAGGACTGCGTGTCTTTCCAGTACTGGGTATCCCCATCAGGTGCCAATGGACTAAGATATAAAGAGCACCTCAATGTCTTATTCCTCTCGATCTCAGAGATTGCAATTAGCGTGGGAAAGCGCCGGTCCTCGCTGATTAGATCGAACTTCGTCCGCCTTGTACCACGATCCACTGAGACACCCGATCCGATAGCACTTCTAGTGGTTCTCCGTGCATGAGTTACCCAGACAGGAGACCTGCCAGGCCTACTATTATGAAGATGAGTTCTAGCGAAGACCTCGCCAAGCATTCAACCTCACTAGTTGATCACACTTTTTAAGGCCTACTTTGGCCATCCTGATTTGTGTCAGATACAGCAGCCTTTACAACAGACCTGCCGTCCTGAGTGTCCTGTGCGTCAGCATTAGCTGCGGATGGCTCCGTCATTGTTGTTAGCCCTACCATACCTGCCTGGGGCTAATTGCCAGGGCTTTTAAACGTGGTGTACAAATGTTTATTCTGTCCCGTGGTGTAATCCCCATATTCTGCGTCGATCTGAGCAAAGCGCGCCTTTGTAAGTAACCGAGGAAAGTAATGATCAGACAAAGAAGCGTAAGATCTCTTGGGTCATCACCGCATATATTTAGGTTACTCGCTCTCGTGTTCTCTCAGGTTGTCCCTTGCATGCGAGTCTACCCAGCACCCTCGGCTCGGGGGAAGCACCGTCGCGTCGCACCCGAGGTCTGCTGCACTGGCATTTCGGACCCCAAATCCGACAAGGTTCGCCCGAATCCCGTGGGGGCTAATTACCTTAAGCAACACAAAACCGACTCATGAAGACTTGGTATCGATAATGTCCCTATTACGAGGTGGTATTTTCTCAAGATTACCGCTTAAGCATGGCCAGATTTACGGTGGGAGCCAACAAAACCACGCCATGCTGTACGCAATGGCCACCTTATATGGCGGTCGCTAGCGATCTTTCTCAGACAGCATTTAAGGACTCTGAGCCCCCAACTTCGCCCAGATCTGCCTTGGCACCACCCTCCGCGTCTCGTTGCCAGTGTTTTGAGCTATGTCATGCCGCCTTTACAGTTTACGCTCTAGAGCCTGGTCGGCGTCTTAGAAAGGCCCACCTCTCGCCAACTTTCTTCCCGATTACGTACTGGCAGCCCAAAAGCGTCTTGCTAGGGAACTAGTACTTCAAGCCTAGGAAGGACCGAATAACCTACACGGAATAGGGAAGAGACAAAAGCCCGCGAATGACCGGGGGAGGCTTATAAGGTCCTCGTAACCGAGCTGGCTGACACACCCCGGAGTCCTGGCATCTGGCCTCTTGGGACTGGCAATGCGGCGCCTCTCCTCAGGCGGAAGGAAGACCAGCACCGTTCTACTCAAATTATTGCCTCGCTTACGTCCCGATCAATCGTAAGACCTGAAAAACACCGCACACCACCGTGGACCTCCAGAATTCTGGCCTCGTGGAGGTGCAAGTAGGAGGAGGTATTATCCAGCCCCCGCGATTACGTCAAATGCGATACTTGAGGCTCTTGAACGACTTCCGGTGGGATGATGGGGGTTTGAGTCGGTCACCTCACATGAAGTGACAATAGACCCGACAATAGGCAATGGCGTATCTCCAGCGAGAACTACAGACGACAATTTCTATGGATATGGAAAGGTAGCCATCATGGTTCTAGAGCTTGAATCTGTGCGATGGTGGTGGTAGCCAGCTTGCAAGTGACTGAAACAGCACACATGATAGGATGGTATCTCCAAAGACAATCCCCTCCTGGACCCAAACCCGTCCCGGAGCAGCCGACGGCATTATTCCCACAAGATACTTCGACTATCCCTCGTATTAATCCAGGTATACTGCATCCCAGTCAGCCCTCACTCACAAACCATCATCATCACTCAAAGAAAACTCACCTCAACACAGCATGGCTGTCCGTCCCCAACAGTAACAGCCAGCAAATTCGCCTCGCTCATCACAGGCCTCAACCCGAGCCCCTCGAGCCTTTCCCACCACTCCGCAAACTGGCTGATCTTCGGCCCCTTCTCCGGCACGTGGATCTCGATCACAAGCTGCCCGAACGGAACCTCCCATCCCTCCGTCTTGAACTCCTCCAGAAAGGCCTCCAACGTCGGGAACTCGTCGCCTTCAATGTCCATCTTGACTAGGTCCACATAGTCGTGCCCCAACTTCTTCATGATGCTGCTAATAGACCAGAACTGCGTCTTGTCCTTCTCGTCGTAGAAATCGTACCCCGCGACCGCCGCCTTGGAGAGGTGCGCGCGGTGCTCGTACGCGTACCCGTCAAGTCCGCGACCCCACATCTCCACCGTGTCGTCGAACCCCCACACCTCCGCACGCGACGAGCGGTTGAGGAACTCCTCCTCGAACGTGGAGTCGCTCCCGACGCCGAAGCTGTACACTCTCAAGGGCCGCTGCGCCGAGACGCGGTCGGCGGCGTACTTGCTCATCCCGCAAATCCACTTGCCGCCATCGCCGAGCTTACCGACGCGCTGCAGGTCCCAGGGGCAGCTGTACGTCGCGGGGAAGAGGTCCCAGAGCGTGTACCAGAAGCGGAGGGACTCATCTCTAGGTGAGAATCTAGTTCGAATGTTAGTAGGTGTTCAGTGACAAACAATGGGTTGGGTGAAGGGCTGACAGCGTGTCGTCGTAGTCTTGATTCTTTTCCATCCAATCGTGTCGCTGCCGGACGGATCTCAGCCACGAGGCTTCGGAGATGGCGGCGCGAGCGAGTTCGCCGGCGTGCGGATCATTTTGGACGGAAACAAACGTTTTCCACCACACATTCAGGGACGGCGTGAAAAGGTAGAGAAGAGCGACCGGGACGATCAGCGTCAATAAAGACGAACATGCCCACCGGCTCTGAGCCGGGGCCTTAGACGACATGGCGCGAGAGTTTGCGTGTGCGAAACGGGGGACAAGGAATACCAGATGACCTTTTCAACTTTCCAGAAAGATAGTTTCCCGCGCGTGTTCGCAGCTGCGCGCGTCTTGGGGACAGTCCATCGGGAACAATCCCGCTCGGTTCCAAGCTTCTCGCAATTCCGACCACAACCCAGTCAGGGTCCCAAGTTGAGCAGACTCGGATCATCTGATCCCCACAACGACCACTCAAATAAACTTTCAGAAAGAGCACACTGAAACAGCTCCCTTGAAACCATCCGCCGATCCAAATGCACGTCGCGCTGAACTGTCGGCGTGCTGTTCAGTAAGGCAGCCTGTCACGAGTCAGACTCCAGACGATGGCAAAACATCGGACTGCTCCGCCCGTTTTTACGTTGATGCCGTGCATCTCGTATGTTCGTTAAGCTGTGCCACCGTGCCCTTGGAAAACGAAAACAAAGGTTCAACAACGACTGAGATATCGCGGGTTTCTCCACCCGAAGTGACCCTTCAAATATGCAAAGACCTCAGAGGCTGATGTCTCTGATTAATCGAGTCAGGTCAAAGGTGCCTCTTGCACATGGCGCATAAGTGCCGATTTTCCAGACGACCGCTGAAGCAACGACAGCCCACTTGTATCACGCACCCAAGTCTGAGCCATGACCATGGGATATGGATCGTTCGTTCCAATTGTTTGGGAAACTCCCGCCGCCATCTGCTGTAAGCGTCCAAACATGCCGGGCTCTTCCCGGAATTCCCGGAGATATCCAGCATCAAAGAGATGGCCCCGAGGCAAGCCAAGACCTCGCACGCCACGCGTTGTCTGGGGCCAGAGCAGGTTTCGGTCCCAGGAAACAATGCAACGTGCTTCCGAGGATAGAAAAGGAGCGGTCTAGAGGTCGAAATGATCGGCACTTCTCCAGTCGGCCAACCTGAGGCTGGAAGACATGAGTAGAAGTATTTGACTTGCGCCGGCTCCCACCCGTCCCGATCCCAGGAAGCCCTTTGATAAAATCCATTTACTAGAGAAACTCAAAGCACGCACTTCCGTGAAGTCACAATGAAGCTTATTTCAACTCTTGTTGTTCTGGCCAGCGCTGGCGCTGTTGTTGCTGTAAGTTTATGTCGCCACACAACATAATCTCCTGCTCACCTGCATCGAAGGATGGTTTGGCTGGTGCCCAATCCAACCCCCATGACAAACGCACCGAAGGTACTTGGAACCTGCAGCCTAGAAACCTGGAGGCGACCAAGGCGAACCCTCGCTTTGTTCGAGCTGAAGGGACCTGGCACCTGCAGCCGAAGCGATCGGACATCGTCACAGATGACGTTGACGACGACTTGGCCCAGAAGCGGGACCTTGAGGCAACCAAGACAAACCCTCGAGCCAAGAGGGCAGACGGCACCTTCAACTTGGTGCCCCGACAATCAGAGACGAAGCTGGCCGACAAGCGGAACGTGGAGGCAACAAAGACCAACCCTAGGGCTAAGAGGGCTGACGGCACCTTCAACCTGGTACCTCGACAGTCGGAGACGAAGCTCGCGGACAAGCGAGATGTCGAGGCGACGAAGACCAACCCCCGTGTTAGACGAGCTGACGGTACATTCAACCTGGTACCTCGACAATCAGAGACGAAGCTCGCAGACAAGAGGGGCATGGAGGCAACCAAGACCAACCCCCGACAGAAACGCGCGGACGGGACGTTCAACCTTGTGCCTCGCCAATCAGAGACGAAGCTTGCAGACAAGCGGGACGTGGAGGAACGGGCTGAGATAAAGCCCAGCAAGACCAACCCTCGCATCAAGAGAGCCGACGGCACGTGGAACCTTGTGCCTAGGCAGTCGATTACGAAGCAGGCCCAGCCTTAGACGGCTTACACCGAGACGGTGGAGTCATAAAGAAGTCGCAGGGTGGTGGCGAAAACGATTGGGAAGTTGAAATGGACAAAGTCGTTTCCTGCTAGTGAAATTTGAACCTGATCTCGTAAAGACTAGGGCGACCTGCAGCATAGTTTCCAGAAGACGCAAGGCAGACGTTGGGCGTTAACAGGTGTAGAGACCGCGCGTGACACGGCAGTAGTTTGGTACCACGGAACATGATAGCAGAAATGTAGACAATAATGAGTCGAGTTGAAGTCGGCGAGAACGACTTGGCCGAGAACCGCTGATTGAGCCGAACTACCTTCCAGTAACAGCATGGATTCAAAAGTCAAATCGCCAGCATGACGTGCAGCGGGTATGAATGGATGGGTTTCCATGCTCCGAGACAGCGAAGGGTTCCTTGTCCGGATACATAGGCGTGCGCTAGTCGACCAAGCACGGAGCAGCGACCCCGAGGTATCCGCAGGGGGTCCGGACTCGGAGGCAGCCCTGAGGGTGGATTCTTAGCTCCGGCGCGGCGACACAAGACCCTCCCTCCGGACGAGCGATTCTGCCTCGTAAGGCTGAGCAAACGCCACCTCATGTCTGGTTGAGTCCAGAGTCTTCCGCGCGGCTAGAGAAACAGGATATCGGAGTGGTGGAAATGAAGGCCGAGTGAGATTTTGGCGCATACATCGCTATGGACGACGAATTATTCGCGAGCGGCCTCCGGATATGATGTAGAGACGGCCCCCAAATGGGGGCTGAATGGGAGGCACAGGACTTCGTTCGCTGTGTAGGTGTGTGTACGTACTGCCAAGGGCTAGTTCGTAATGGACGACATGGTAGGTGATCCTGCAGCCTTGCGTGCATGAGAGGGCACGGAGGGGTTGCCGTGTCGAGAAGTTCAAGCAGGTATTTCGGGATGCCAATGTGGCGGCGTCATGGCAAACCCAGGTTGGCCATTCAATCCAGCCTGACCATGGGGAAAGGAATGCCGCGTCGAACGCGCAACGGACCGCATGCCTGCGTCTGTGTGTCTGAATGGGATGACGGGTGGCGAGCGGGCGCTAGACCGAGGGCTGCCGCAGTTCTCTAACAAAAGAAAAGAGGCGACTCGACGAAGGATCAGGGCGTGTTTGCAGAAATTGACGCGTCTGGGCCGAGGTGGTTGCTGTTGAGAAGCGAGAAGCGGCGGCCACGAGCCAATGGAATGTCAGCCAGCGGGTAGCAAGACGTGAAAATGGATTCGTTTCTGTCTGCGGCGTAGATGTCGAGGAGGCAGTCGAAACAAATGAGTAATGCAGGGGTCGTCGAGCTGGCGTCAACAGGACTCCGGAGTCCCAGTCCCATCTAGGACTCTTTGGTGTGCGGTCGTTGGTGTGTTGCTGCAGGCAGAAGCCCAAGGGAAGCCGAGGTGAACCTGATCGGGTGACCTTCAGCTGACTTAGTCGTCGAGGTCTGGATTTTCTGTCTGAGGGAAAGAGCGACGGCTGCCTGGTGGTTGCTGCTGCCAGATGAAGCGTGGCATGAGGTACGTACCTTGGGTGCAGCGAGCAGGTGGGGAAAGAGCGGTGTGGGGCACCTTCCAGTGACAGCGACAGCGCCTTCCAATTTTTCCAGTGGTGTTTTGTGTCACCTTCAGAAGCACCAACACCAAAAAAGGAAAGAAACGAGCCGACAACACATCCACGATGCTGCTGCCATGCGACCAGACTGCACCAAAACACCTCACCCATGGACATGCACCCCGCTCTGCCGCTGCTCACGGACGACGCAAACAATCGCAATGATGAAAATTCTAAGCTTCTCCTGCTTCCCGTCTGCGGGAAACAAGGCCTTGGTGCATCGGTTGGTCCGACGGGAAGCAGGCTACGGTGGCTTAGCGGAAGCTCAAGAAGTGTTAGAGATGTGCACAGCCCGGCCACCCGCACACTAACATTTTTCATCGCAATCCTTCGCGCACTCGCTACGCTGGCTGCCCTGCTCGGACGAACAGCATTGGACGATTGCTCGGAATGCTTGTCCAGACGACTGGGTGGCTTGTGGCTTCCCCTTGCAGACACTGCGATCCTTCGACAGGGCCATCAACAAAGAGGCCAACGGCCACGGCACGGCGAGCGTACCCGAGCCTGAAGCCCCTCGTCAAACAAGCCCTCTGACGATGCGTCGCTGCCGCCATGGTACGATCGATTACCTACCAACCTCCATCATGGCCTGCTGCAGCCGATGCAGGTCCACGATGTGGACATGGACGTCACGGGCCCTCGGGGCGGGAGGCTGTGGTTGTTTGTTACCTGCGGAGTCGACCAGCAACGGACAAAGAGCTTGCATGAGCTTCGAGGACAGGACACGGCAAGATGACTCAGGCTTTGCGCGATGCCATTCGCTCATGACCATCGCCAAAGACTCAATTCGCATATTCCGTCGGGGTGTTTGGACGCCAGAGTCGAATGGATTCCTGCGAGAATGGAACCGTCGCGACTCGTGCAAGACGGCGTCTGTCGCTTGTCCGACTGAATCATCGTCAAAGTCAACAATATCGATAAACACTCTATGTCAACCGCGAACACAGACCACAAATGTCACCATGTGCGTGTTTCGATTGCCGCTGTCGCTAGCACGGCCGCCCTCACGGTCATTGTCGCTGTGCTCCACGATTGGACCCGTGGGCCGTGCCTCTCCCCCGGGTCGAATAGATTGACGGCCGGGGGACAACGGCCATGGGTACGATGATGGGCATTGAGGGCTGTGCAGAAAATAGCATCATATCGCCGGAAAATATCGTTTCGCCTTTTTTCAGCCTTCAGCCTTTTCAGTTTGACCTGGGTCCGTCATCTATCAGAGAAGGCTGCGACGGACCACACCACCATTAACAAATGAAGTCCTCTTCACCTTGGTATCCCAACGAGGTTACCGAGACGTCGCCGGGCGCCCGTGGTGGCCGGCCCTGGCCAGCCAGGCCTGACGAGAGACCGCGCCGGCGTCCAGCCAGTCGGTTCTGTCGCCATTGTGCGGTGAACCATCACCACATCAGCCAGAGACACACACACACCACCAAGATTCCCAACGCGACGTACATCTCGACGAACACGACCACACCCACAAGTCCTCATATGCAAGGCCAATACAACGGGGACTCAAGAGACACACGGAGCGGGGTCCCGCGAGAGCTGTCAACCATTCCGGAGTCCTTGGTTCCCTCCATCCTTCTTCGCATTGGCAGCTTACGGGCACCCCCTGCGCCCTCCACCAGAGTCAGTTGGTCGGTGCTAAGCCCCTAGGCCTCCCAGCTGCGAAGGCTGTGAATCGCCAGAGAGAAGTACTGCGCGGCGTCGCAAAACGTGCGAGAGACAAAGAGAAACACCCTCCAACGACTCCCCCTCCCGAACAGAGACCCCCAGTCGTACGAAAAGGGTCTAGTGAAGACTCATCGGCCACTCATTCAGGCAGACGCAGGCAGGGGTTGGATCATGGTGGCATGCATCGCAGGCGCATTACACCTTGTAAGGCCTACAAGGCCTCAATCTCCACCATCCCACGACTTGCGTCTCTAGCTGCTGGCTCTTCCTGCGGTACCTCCGTCCGCTGCCATCGTGGCTGCTGCTGCGGCGTACTTCGTCGACTTTCGACTTTCGGCCCCCCCCGCTCGTACTCACCTTGGAACGCGATATAATTCAGACGCGGTTTCTCCCCAGACCACGCAGTTCTACTTTACTCGAACTATCCACCCAAACGTTTTTACACTTTGACTCTTTCCCACATAGACGAAGAACGCTACCCCAATCTATCCCGGCCCTGTCGATCCACCCGCACCCGTCTAAACTTAGGCAGATACTTTCCAGCCTCTGCTTTCTCGTCTTCGACCTCAGTCATCTGGTATTTAATTCTCCAACAATCACCTGCATAACATCTCGAAGCACCAACCAACTTACACTTTTACTACTCAGACAACCTCCAACCAACAACACTCGTTCTTCAATACAGCCTGTTGGCACCGACACATTGTCCTCCACTCGTGCTCCCGAAGCTCTCTACCTTGACAACACCATCGTGTTGAAGCACAAGTCTCGCCGCTCCGCCAATACTCGGAGCGCACTCCAACAATCTTCCACGTTGACGACCACCGAGAAGCGAGTTCGCTTTGCTACAGAAATCGTCCAACCGGCACCACCCCAGCGCACGCCGCGCACTCATACGTTCCAACCAGACACCACCATGTGCACCACAGACGTCTACACCGACGTCTACCCAGACGGCCGTCGCAGCGAGTACCAAACACCAAACCTCTGCTCCCACTCTCGCAACGGCCGCCTCTGCGGCAACCCAGTCGTCTACAACCACCCGCCCCGCTCCGTCGGCTATCCCACACAAATGGCTAGCTACCCTGCTCAATACCCTCAGCAACTGCCTCCCTCGCCGCCAATGTCCTCACCTCGCGGCCAGTCTGCTGAGTCTCCCCGGCCCCGCACCAGCTCCTCCTCCAGCGACAGGAAGCGTCGAGCATCGGGTATCTACGTCAACGGCCAGAGGGTCCTCGACTTGAACCGCAAGAACCGCTCTCGCGCCGAGCGCATTGTCATTGTCGACTCTCCTCCCACCCCGCGCACACCACCCAAGCAGTTCTCCACGCCTTACACCGCGCCGCCCTCCCCCAACGCTGGCGACGAGCCTCACTTCCGCTACAGCCACGTCCCTCGCGGCTCCCACAATCTCCGCCCCGTCATTGTAGACGAGCGCCCGCGACCTCCCAAGGTTGAGATTGAGGTTATCGACGGCGGCCACCGCCGCCATCGCTCTCAGGACTCTAAGCACAGCCACTCCAGCGCTGAGGACGAGGAGCGCCGACGCCGACGTAAAGATAAGGAGCGCAAGGAACGTGAGGATCGCGAGGAGCGTGAGCGTGCGGCCGAGGAGGCGGAGCGAAGGCAGCGCATTCTCGAGCGCATCGATGCCCAGAACGAGAAGATCTCCCGTCGCCCGGCCGTCCCCGTTCCTCCTGCCCCGTTCAAGCGCTCCTCGACCGGCTACGCCAACGTTCCCTTGTCTTCGGACCAGGAACTTGTTGACGCTGTCCGCCGGTTGGAGATCAACGAGCGCCTCGCTTCTGAGCGTCGTGCCCGCGAGCAGCGCGAGCGCGAGGAGGAGGACGAGGCCCAGCGCCGCCGCTTGATGGAGCGAATGATGCCTCGCCGGAGGGCCACTGTGGGTCCCGGCAGCCGGCGCCACCGGGTCCTCTACGATGATGGTCTGTACCGTTGGGAGTAAACGGTCCAGTCATATTTACCACGCAAATGCTTTTTCTGTTTAGAGATCTTTGCGCGTCTGATATTTTTATGCACATGTATTCTAGATAGCAAGCGTTCTGCCTTTTTTTGTCTTTTTTTTCTTGGTTTACACCTCGGGCAGGGTAACAGGACTTGTCGGGGAGGAATGATCGCCGGGGTAGCGATGGGATGATACCACAGCAATTGGACAGCATACATAGAATCACACAAACAAACAAGCAAAAAAACAAGATGATTCAAACCAAAAAAGACAACCCCATTCTCGCGATTCGGTGACATTCTACGAAAGTCTTCTGTATTGTTGATATAAAAAAACGGTCCTTGTGATCGCTTGGCTATGCATGTCTCACCTGCCTCCCCCTGGTCTCCGGACCTCGAGACACAACCCCCGTACCCGTGGCGTTTTACTGTTCGTTCGTCTGAAGATTTGAGGATGTGGTGGTGGCCGGGTGAGTCAGGACACCACATTGCAGTTTTGAGGGTTTAAGCGAGGGGGACTTTGAAGATTCGCGAGGTGGTGATGGGCCTCGGCAGTGCGAAATTTAGGATTTGGGAGGATATCGCGTTTCTTGATTTTTCGGAGTTCTTTGAGGGGGGCATTTGCTTGGGGAGGGGTTTTGCTTATCGATAGGCGCGGGGTACTTCGTGAGCACGGCGGGGTGATGCTTTGGAGGATGGGGATTGTTGCCTGGTGCTGTTCTTCTTCCCGCGCGACATCGGGACCTAAGATTTGGCGTGCTTGCGATGTCGATGTCGATTTCGCTACCTAACGCGATCGACTCATCTCGCGCCGTCGCAAATCATCCGTGGCGTTTTGGCGAGGTTGATGCCTGCGCTTTGCGTCGATGGAATAGGCAGCCTGGGTTGGGGTAGGAAGAGGGGAAGGGAGGATCCTTGTTTGCGATGCGGGACGGGCCTGAGGACGCAACACTAGTGATTGCGCTGATGGTGGCCGGTGTGAGTCGTGACGGGTTGGGGGAGGGCTCGGTGTGGTTCGGTGGACGAAGGGTGATTGAATTGGTAGTGTAGGTAGGGTTCTGTCCAAGTTGTTGACGGGGGGTTTCCCACGTCGCATCGCTTTTCGGTACAGAGAAACAACCCAACTCGAATGTCTCACCTCGGCCAAGGAAGATTTGGAGAACCAAGACATGAGGGGAGACACACACGCATATTTCTCCACACGCATCGAGGATGAAGGACGGTCCCGTGGCGCGCAGAGTATCGTTCGGGATTGGCCCGCCGCCGATGTGTTACGGGGTCCACCCACCCACACTGCTCGGGGGCCGGACGCCGGGAGGAATTGTATCAGTCATTGACCGCGAGATAGGTGACGCATTCTAGCGGTGAGAAAAGTAGGCGTGCCTGAGGTTTTGGCGATGTGAGGTTTTGGGGGTGGCATGCCTGGGTGGTGGTGTTTCGAGGGCGGGGGAGGGAAGTGAACAGCAGCGCATGAGAGATGAGACGCAAAGACCCGCATCTTACCGTTTTCAGTCCACGACGGCTGTTGATCGGGACTTCTGGATACGGCAAATACCTCAGCCTGGCCATTGATGAAGCCGCCGAAGCCTGCAAGACTTTTGGTTTTGGCGATGTCCCTAGTTCACCTTTTGTTAAGAGTCTTGCGACCTAGGCGTGTACTTTTAGGTAACAGAGGAGCTTTACGGCAGTCAAAAAGGTGCACCTCCAGGCCGTAAACTGCAAAAGAACAAGTTAAAAGGGAAGAAGGATTCGGGTAACAGAAAAGGATAGCCTGGCAGCCGCAAGTCGAAGGACGAATTAAAATTCATCCATGCTATTGTCCCTTTTCTCGCTTATTTCATAATTATCATCGCTGTTGGTGCTAACCTAGGTAAGGTATCGATGCTGCCCTGGTCGCTACCAAGTGCATATTACCCGCCCAAATCATAAGGTTTTGTCTGAATGCTTGTTATGACGAGCAAGAACTACCGAAGTTGGCAGTTGCAATAATCATTGCTTGATCCGTCTTGAACATCGGTACTTAAGCAGTATGATGACGCTTTGATGCTCTATCAACTGTTGGTGTACTCGCAGCACACCATATTCAAAGGCTAATAGAGATCAGATGTATCTTAAACACAGAATGAGACAATTCTAACGAACTCGACTTTGCATGTCAACATATTTGCTTTGGACGATTCCCAGTGCTTGGCTTCATCGAAACACGCTAATCCAGCCGGCGTAAGATGAAAGCATCAAAACTGCCCCTCGAAAACCAGCCTCTAGGCTTGCGCACCGTTCCAGAGAACTGAAGCACCGTTATCGAGTAGTGCTTGCAAAGTGTCGTGGTCATCTTCCTCCGCCAGCTTCAACAGCCATTCTTTCGTTTGGGTTGGGTCATCCTCCACATATCTGTGGAGCAGTCCAAAGAACAGGCTTTGGACCTCCGGTTGCCCTTTCCTAACTGCAAGCACAATATGTTCAAATGAACAACTAACTCCGCGCTTCAGTAGCATTTCGACAGTGCTGACGTCGCCGTGCTCAATGACGTCGGGCAAGTGCTGCACCCAACGATCTGGGCACTCGTGTACGAGGAGTCTCAAGTAACCAAATATCAGCCGCTTTATCCCCTGGGACTTTCCGTATTTTGCAGCGTCAATGTGCTCTGGTCGGAGCTCAGCTCCTGCATCGATGAGCTGCCGGACGATGCCCTCAAGGTCCTTTGTAATTGCCTCGCCTAGGGGCGAGAGGTCACCGAGGGGCGAAAACTCCCGGCCTCCTTGTTGGTTCACCGCACATCCGTTCTTCAAAAATATCCGTACCATCTCTTCGTGGCCTTGGTCGATTTCCAGCAACAGCGGGGTACACCCGTCATCTGTGGACCATGATACGCACTTCAACGCTTCCAACGCCTTCCCATGGCTCAGAATGATTTCAGCGCAGACTTCGTGCTCAAACTGACCATACTCAGCGCAGTAACCGAGCGCAGTTCTTCCGGCCTCGTCCTGAGCCAGTGGATCAAACCCCAGGCTCAACATCGCATCTACAGCCTCAAACCAGCCACATTTCGCGGCCAGTGGAAGTGCTGCGCTGACGAAATGTTTCTTTTGGGCCAATAAAAATTCGACGCCCTCTTTTGTGAGAAAACACAAGGATCGCAGTGTGTCAAATCTGTTTCTCTTCTTGAGTGCTTCCAATAAAGCTTCGTAAACAACCGTTACTTCGCCTTCGTTATCTCCGTAAAATTCCCAGAGGGAATCATGGAATTTTTGAAGCTCCTCAATTCTCGCCAATGGAAAACGGCCTTCTTCCCGCCTTCTAGTTGCCAGTTTCCAAAGTTTCCCACAGACACGAATAAGTCAAAGCACCCACTTTCCGGCCACCCCTGCATTCCGGCCACCCAAAAAATGCCGCCCAGCCACCCACTTTCTAGATAACCTCCTACTTCTAACTACTACAACATTTTCTGTTTTTATCCAAACTCCATCATTTTT